TTACATAACATTTCTGCATATTAATCTTAGAAATATTGAGATTTTCATTTGGAAGTACATATTAAGTTAATAAAACAATAAATATTTAATGCACCTTATACTTTCTTCTAAAATGGGAAAGTCCAATGCTTTTTGCATTCAATTTAGACCCTTCTTTAACCATACTGATTTATATGGCTAGTTTGCTTCTATACTTTAAAATAGTATTGTGTTATTTTTTTAAATAATTATTCAATTTTATTTATTATTATCATTATTATTTTATAATTTGTTACAGGGCACATGTGTTCACCAGAGACAGATGGACAGAGAGAGAGAGGAAGTGAGAAAGCAAACCACTGAGTCTGGGACTCAAACCATGGCCTTGAGGGAGTCCAGCACCTTAACCACCATGTCACCCACTAGCCCGACTGTTTTCTTTTATGGATTTCCCTTACTTTTTCTTTAAGTTTTTGTTGTTGTTGTTGTTGTTGTTGTTACAGGTTTTGTTGTTATTTTTGCTATAGGGTGCATGCACTCTTCAGAAAGAGACACAGAGAAAGACAAAGAGCGAGCAATCACTCCCCCAGGGGTCAAGTGTAACCACATCACAATCCATTTTCCTCCATTCATCTCTCAGGATTTTGGACACCCATGCGCGCACGCACACACACACGTACAGTATGTTTTTCAGGGCACTAGGTTGGGACTCGAACTGTGTAGTAGGCCATATGAGACCCAGTGCCTTAATCACCACATCACCTGCTGGTCCATATGGAGTTCCTTTCTGGAACATATCATTATAAGCATTGTACAATGCTTGATTATGGTCATTATAAAATTCTCTCTTGATTTAGCTTTCAAAGTTGAGTTTATATTAGATTTGATAAATTATTTCACTAGAATAATTTATGCTTATTTTAAGTTGAGCAAGTACGGAACCCCTGGTTAGAATAGAAGATAGCTTGGTTTAACCAGGACTAATTTTGCCACCCAGGGGATAGCTGATGATTGTCATAACTAGGAGGGCAATGCTACTGGCTTTTAGTGGATGTTATACATCCTAAAGTGCTCAGAGCCCCCACAACTGAGTGATTGAGGCCAAAACTGCAGTAGCGTGGACTCTGAGGAAAACTCGTACAAAAGAATGGTCAATCAATCTGTCATTATAAGGTCCAAGGTAAAACTTTGTCCTTGCCTCTAACCAGCTTGAGGTCACTTTAGGTATGTAATTTAACTATATCATTATGATTTAAGAAAAACTTGTGTCTGCTGGTTTATGTAGTAAGTGTGGTAATATTTCCAGGGATACTAAACCCATGGGAGTCTCTACCCGGGTCTTGAGAGGCCTTATCTTTGCACAAGAAGGAATTTAAGAGTGAGCCTATAGGCCCTGTTGAACTTCTAGCCTAATTGGGTGTTGTTGTCTTATTTTCACTGGGAAGGCATTTATTGCTTTACCAGGGACTTTTGTATTCCATACCTACAAGTTCACCCAAGCTGTAAAGCAGGGAAGAATGTCATCAATCTCCTCTAGGTCAAGGGCTATGTCCCGACCATGAACAAAAGATGGTCATCTCTCCCTGTTGGTTGCTGGGTGAATTAGGGTACCTAGCCAGGTTATCAAGTCCCTCCCTAGAAAACAAACTGGACACGCAGGCATTATAAAGAACTGGCGGATAAAAGACAAAATCCCAGTAAAGATGATAAGGAACAGGGGCTGGTAGGCAGCACGGTGGTTAAGGGCACTGGACCTGCAAATTGCCGACCATGGTTCAAGTCCCAGACCTGGTGGCTTGCTTTCTCACTTTCTCTCTCTCTCTCTCTCACTCTGTCCCTCTCCAGTCAAACTAAAAAGAAAGAAGAAAGAAAGAAAGAAAGAGAGAGAGAGAGAGAGAAAGAGAGAGAGAGAGAGAAATTCTTAAAAAAAAATAAGAAAGAAGAAGAAGAAAAGTAACTGAGTAGGCCTTTCGGTTTGGGCTAGCCATCTAAACCTACTATAGATCATGTTCATAGAGGCAAAGGACACAGTAAGATTTTAAGACATCATTAGTGGCTTCCATATCTAATAGAAAATCAACATTCTTACCTGCTGCTGCTTCAAGGGTTGCCTGAGGCTCATCTGATGAGATTTCTAGATGTTCAAGATGAGCCATCTGGTGTCTTGGGGCACATCAATCCTTGATTCTCGAGGCCATCAGGAACTCAGGAGTCCAGGGTCCTTTCAGACCTCCAGGCATGTCAATCCCCCACAGGGGGAACAATGCCTTGGGGGCGGAGAGAGCACGTCAGTTGTGAGCATTACCCTTTCTAGTGCCCAGACTTCCCACACTGGAAATACCTAAATTCTCCCTGAGGCAGAGGATCTGACCAGGCTTCCCCATTCTTACCCTCAGGTAGGACTTCGGTCGCCAGCCTAAAGGTTTACTTTGAGTGACTTGGGTAGCTATGGCCACAGCCAGTATTTGGGCCTTTTGTTTGTCTCTCTGGGCCCTTTATGGCCTACTCAACCATGTCATGGTTCTATACACTAAAAGCTACCTCCAAAGCTTAGAAATAGGTTCCTCTAGGCAGTCAGCAATTTTCTGGAGTACCCTCTAAATATGATGGGTTGATTGATTGAAGAAATGTACCCAGAAGAATTTAGCCCTCTCTGGTACTTGGGTCTATGTTGGTAAACTTCCTAAAGACATCTACCAGCCCACCTTGAAACACAACAAGGTTCTCCTCTTTGCCTCAAGTTACCTCTGGACCCTATCAGAGTTCACCGGCTTGATTACACATGTCTTCATGTGGAAGCAAGAATACTTACGGTTTTTCTGAGACACATGCCTTGGGTCTTAATAGTTCCAGTGTGGGTCTTGCTCAGAAATAGCATCTTCACCTGTCCTAATGAAGAATGGTACAGCTTCTACAACCAGGTCCAGAGCCATGGAGTCCACCCATCAGTAGAGCCCCTATTAACTGGCCACAAACATTTATCATGGGGGCTGCCAGCAGCATTCCAAAAGACTCCCATTTAAGCTGCCATTCCTGGGAACCCTACATATTGGCTAACTCTCTGGCTACCAGAATTACCTGTTCTCTTCTTGGGTATAGCAGGTACAAAGGATGACCTTTCTTTTTATCCAGGACAGGTCAAAAGACAGGGTTAAGCTGACAAACCTGACCTGAATTTCTCTGGGTCTTCCACAAAACTTCTCAACTTGTCTACACAGTGTCAAGTCTAACTTGAAGTAAAGCAACATGGACTCGGGCAGACCTTAATCCCTACCCAGGACTTCACAGAGAGCTTACTGGGTCTTTGTGAGTTATAGGAGTCCCCACTTCAGGTGGTACCTACTGTGCTGGGCTCAGCCTAGCTGCCTAGATGAGGAACTGAGGGGCTAGATCCTTTAAGATGAAGGGAATGTCTCTCCTTCAGAAATTCTGCCACTGGTGTCCTCATCGAATATCATTGTTTGTGAACTCAAGTCTCATCCCAGTCTCAGAGCACATTCCACAAGTAGGTCACTGAAGATGTCTAGTTGTACACTAACAGAGATCACAGAAGCTAGACACATTCCTCATTGATTTTTTCATTTCTGGCATCTGGTATAAAGCCATGAAAGTTTGTACATGTGGAAATTTTTCCCACTTGCTCTGTGTTTTGTGAAATATGTCAAGTTGCAAAATTGTATTACAGTACAGAGACTTTTTTTTTTTCTTGGCTGCTCTCAGTCCCCCAATTCATATTGTGCATGCTGTGTTATAGAGGAAAAAAATATATATATACACACACACATACATTATATATATACACACACATAAACACATATGCACACATACATATATACACACGTGTGTATATGTACACATATGTGTACATATACACGGCATATATACACGCATATATACACACGTACATGTATATATATATACACACACATATATATATACACATATATATATGTGTGTGTGTGTGTGTATATAGTTTGTTTAAACTATTCGTTTTAAACAGATACCAATTAGTGGGACTACTAGATGGCATAATGGTTACCTTGTTGGACTGCCACATCATAAACCACAGTTCAAATTTTGGACCTAGGGGCTTAAAACTCACTCTGGGTGCATGTGCCTGTGCACCCCAAATCCCGAGAGGCAAACGGAGGACAAGGGATTGCAGCATGGCCAACCCCATCTGGGGGGTGTGGTGATTTCTAGCTTTCTCTTTCTCTGTCTCTCCAGTGAGCGCACCTCTCAAAAATAAAAGAAATACCAATTAGTTAGAAGGTAGCCCAAGGGGAAGCCTTCTGGAATGGTGCATCATGATAAACGCCTCATGATAACGTCTGTGACTAATTAATATGGACCCTATTGATGGGTGGACCTCATGGCTCCAGACCTAGTTGTGAAACTTGTACCTTTCTTTATCACCTTACTCTACCTGGCTTTCGGTTTCTCTGCAATGTCAACGACCAGCACGGAAGTAAGTAAAATATTGGTGGCAGCGCTTGCTTAGACACCAAATATCACAGAGACTCCCCAATTTTTACGCGGTACCAATTGCTGCTTAGCTGGAGGTCGAATTCTATTATAGCCTCTACCGTTCTAGCAGCAGTTACGGTGATTTAGGAAGCAGAGGTGGAGAGGGAGGAGGTGGCCTAGCGTGAAAGTCCTCTAGGCAAGGCGCCCAGGGGCAGAAGAGCGACAGAGCGGCAGAGGACCCTCTCCTTCCCCAACAGAGACGCTTAGTTTGCGTATTAGTTCAAAGGCAGAAGGGCCAAAGGATTTTTCCACGCAGTGTGAGAAATAAAAAGACTCAAACCGTGAGGCTGAAACAGAAAGGCAGTTTGGCAGTCTGTGACACTACCTGGCACCGAGTATCTGAGGCAAGGTCGGCGAAAACCAAGTCTCGTCTCTGTGGCCAGGTCACGTGCGGAGGAGGCGCTCAACCCGAGGCTCCCAATCTGGCGTCGCGGATACCACGTGCTTCCGACCTCCGACCCGCCTCCCGGATGTGCTGGTCTCCGCCTCCAGGTTCCCGGATGTAGTGCGCTGGTGCAGCGAGCCCCGCCTGGCATCAGCCTCTGAGCGGGCTGATCCACTTCCTTCGCTGCCAGGAGAGGATAAACGAGCTCAGGTAATCAAGACAAACAGGCGGAAGGGAAAATTCCTCCAGGAGACTCACCCAGCCATCGAGGCCAGTCCATTCCTCGCAGGTTTAATATGTCTGGTGGGAGGTCTCTCGAGAATCTCTTCATGGTTCCCAGAAAGAGGTAGCCGAGGAGGCTCAACCCTTGAGGATGTCCACCCAGCGTGTGAGGGTACTTGGCTTCGTCCAGGAAACAGTTCAAGAACAAGCCTTGGAGGGGAATTGAAAGCAGGTTTACTAAGGGAAGAGTGCAGCGTGGACTACTCTGTTGGCCGAGCTACCTTGCAGGGGACATGAGCGAACAGTCTCGTTCCTTTCTCTGAGAGGAAGGAGGGCACTGACCCAACAGGAATGGTACAAGAGCTACCCCTTAGGCAGGAAAGCACTGAGCGCCGCTGGGCATCTGGTTTACCAAGCATAGTTTAATGCCAGGCTAAGTAAGGGCCAGTTTATTCATGACTTTTCTGGAAAGGGGAGGTGGTTTTTCTGGAACCACTGTCCTTCCTGTTTGGATGATTTACCAACAATGTGTAGGAAGGAAGCCTCAGTTATTTCTGGTTGTTACCAGTTCTCAATTCCTCATCCTCCCTAATAGATGTTCTCCGGAGGGCTCCACATGGCAGCCCACTTTCTCCACAGTGAATAATCCAAAGGAAGCATTTTATGGACTACTTTCAGAAGAGGCATGTCACCAGTTTTCCCACAGTCTATTCATTAGAGGCAAATCATTACAACTCCACTTACAGAGAGGATGAATTTGGTTTCACTTTTGAATGCAAAGGGGGAAGAATTTGTAGACAAATTTTAGAATCGCCACATTCTCCTTATTTTGCTTTCCTTCTAAACCCAACTAAGGGTCACTATTTCTAGGGGGACTTCATGACCACTTCTGCCAGTGGTAATTTATCTAATTCCCTCTACCCTTTCCCTATGTTTACTTACACAGACGTTACCAAATGTGGTAAAGCCCACCCACCTTGATGGTCCAATTTTGCCTGTTTGGAATGATATTCATGAATTTATATTATTTAAGAAAACATTTTGTGGTGGTTTTTATGTATAGCAATATTTGTAACCCACTAGTAATTAATTATATATGAGAAGTTGAAATGTGCATAAATCTTGTGTAAAAGTTCTTTTTCAAAGGATATTATAATTTGGTTCACATTTTCAAGATAAGTAATAAAAACAAGAATCAGATGTGACTGGTATAACATCTTCATATGATAATGGTACAAAGTTGAAATTTAGGCAAATTGTAGGATTCTAGTAATATAAATTTCACTGTCATCATGTCACTCATCATTGTCCCCATGCACTGAATGACTTTATAAGAAAGGGAATATTTATCCCTTAACTCTTTAAGCTAGAAACATGCTTTATTTTAAATTATACACAAAATATTTTTCTAATTCTTAGATTCAATGACAGAGTTCAAATTTGTGCAGATAAAATGTTCAGTATTTAATCAATATTTGAAGCAACAAATCAAAACATATACAAAACGGTTATTTTATTCCTCAGAGTAAGGACCATTTCAATTGCAACTACTATTGCTATTTCTTTTTTACCTGAATGTTTTCATGCTTTCTTTCCTCATTTCTCTTCTCTTTATTTGTTGTGCCCTAGCTAGTCACAGCATGGTCCTCTACCTCCACTGGAATAGTTCATGTAACTTTAATTATTATCTGATAAAACAGACATTGAATCAAGTTTAATCTTACCTAAATTTAGATTTAGAGTTAAGTGACATATTTTTTATTATTATTATTATTATTATTATTATTATTATTATTATTATTATTATTATTGAATCTTACCAGAGAGAGACACAGAGAGAGAAGGAAAGTGAGAAAATAAGCTGCCAGGTGTAGGACTAGTACCATGGTCTGCCACGTACTTCAACCATCATGCCACCTGCTGGCCAGAGTGACATATTTTTAAATGTCTTAGTGTGATAAGCAAAAAATATGTTTATTCATGGGGTAGATTAGTGACTTTGTGTATATATAACATAGTAAAAAGCAAATCATTTTCTAGACAAACATAATTTTTACTCATATATTTTTGTTTTAAAAGCATTTCAAGGGCACATCAATTAATTCTTCCTACCATAGGATATAGAGTGCATGTATAATAATCAAATTGCTTTTAAGGTATTATGTTCTCTTGAGAATAGTGATGAAGACATTTTTTTAAGTGAAGCTTTGTCACTATAAAAGAATAAATTCACAAATACAAAACAATATTCTAGAAAGGTTATTCCTTGTAGCATTATTTTTGATAGCACACTATTGGAAAAAAATCTAAATGTCATTTCACTGGAGACTGAGTGAGTGAAATATAGAATGCCCACAGAGTAGGGTATTATGTAGTCATTAAAAACAAAGAATATGTATAATCTTTATGGTCTGATAAAGAGTGATTTCCATTGTATAGTATCTAATAACAAACCAAAATTAAGGTGCAAAAAATACATATATGGAAAATGAGCAAAAGAAGATGGTTATATAATCAGATTGAAATATGTGTGCATACATATTATTTATTTTATAAAGAAATACCAAAATTATAACACAAAAACTAAGTTAAAAAATTATTTGTAGATGGTCAGTATAATTTTATAGAAAAAAATGGAGATAAAACTTTCAGGAATTTTGCCTTTTTATATTATGTTGACTTTAAAATCAAGTAAGTGTATTAAATATTCAAAAACAAAATAAAATCAAGACAAATACAAAAAAGCAACTTCTAAAATTGAATACAAAGAAAACAAATTAAGGGAACCAGCAGTTAGCGTAATGGCTATGTCGCTGGATTCCCACGTAGTCGACTGCGGTTCGCGTCCCGGACCCGGTGGCTTAGAACTCACGCCGGGCACGTGTGCGTGCGTGCCCAAGATCCCGAGAGGAGAATGGAGGAGAAGGGATTGCGGCGTGACCATCTCCCCTGGGGGGTGATTTCTCGCTTTCTGTCTCTATGTCTCTCTCTGTCTGTCGGGCGAGCGCACACGCCCTATAGTGAAAAACCTCTCAAAAAAAAAAAAAAAAGAAAACAAATTAATATATATGCATGCTATAAACACACAGGAAAAAATATCTCAAGTTATATTTCATTGAACAACCTTAAGTTTCTTTTCTTTTTTTAAGATATTTTTGCTACAGATCATGTGCACTCACCAGAGAAAGAGAGACAAAGAAACAGAAAACAAGAAATCAACCCTGGGGGGATGGCCACATTGCAATCCCTTCTCCATGCTCCTCTTGGGATCTTGGGCATGCACCTATACACTCTTGGAGTGAGTTTTAAAGCTGCCAGGTCCTGGACTTGAACCATAGTCAACTATGTGGGAGTCCATTACACTATCTGCTGGTCCCTCCTTAAGCATCTTAGTTATGAAAATTTGAACTTCATGTAGTAGGTTTGTTGAAGGAAAAAATTAAGATATTAATTTTCCAAGTATTTTGTATGAATTAAATGAGAGATTAAATGAACAAGTATACTGTCTTATTTAGAATCAGTATTCTCAATGTGGGAAAAAAGAGATTCAAATACACAATTAAGGAAGAGAAGGGAAAACTGTATTGTTGCACTTGAATTAGCAGCAATAATATACATTTACAATTCTAAAAATACAAAACTTCCTAACCCTTTACACTAAAAGAATGAAATTAAATTGTGGTAGCAATAAGGACATTTCGTTTCTAAAACTTAGTGAGGGTGAGGAGAGGTGGGGTGGGTAGAAAAATCCAAACCTTTTAGAGAAAGGACTGATTTGGGGTCCAGAAATGATAGACTGAGTCTGAATCAAGGACCGATGGTAGAATGTTCTGAGATCACAAGATCTTATCAGCAGATACCATTACAGAAATGTATAGACAAGCCAAAGGCTGAAAAAAATATTTCTATTTCATATACCCAGCCCAAAACTCTACTCCACTTCGTCTATCTGGTAAAGGAATATATCTGACTAAGGAATTTCTCCAAATCAACAACAAAAAGAGAAACAACACATTTAAAAATTAAAGAACCTGAACAATTTTTTTTTCTTTTTTTTTTTTTTCTTTATTTACTTTTGATGGAAAGGTTTTTGCTAGAGGGCGCATGCGCTCGCCAGAAAGACAGAGACAGACAGAGAGATAGAAAGCAAGAAATCACCCCTCCCCCAGGGGGGATAGCCACGCTGCAATTGCTTCTCCTTTATTCTCCTTTCAGGATCTTGGGCATGCATGCGCGTGCACCCAGCCTGAGGTCCAGGACTTCAACTGTGGTTGACTGTATGAGAGTCCAGGGACAGCCATTACGCCAACTTCTGGTCCCAAGAACCTGAACAATTAAAAACATTTGTACATATATGTTCAGGAAGTGCACACACACACACACACAAAAGAACTCAACATCATTAGTCAAAAAGGTCATACAAAATAAAACCATAAGGAGTTACTATCTCATACCTATTGGGATAGATTTGTCTTGTATTCAGACAGTGTATTTGTCTGTTTTCTCAATATTAGATTCACTTGAAAAGCACAAATGTTTCCACCAAGATGCAGTTGTTTACTTTCCATCACAGCTTTGGAAGGTACGTACTTTGTTCTGTGGTTGGTAATACTACCTTTGATCCTTTGAATAAATTGGTATCTGCCAGATCTGTGCATTCTAAGTGTATCTTTTTCTCTTTTGTAAATGTAGTATGTATTACCTTTGTTGTTGTCATAATGCAGTATCATAAATTAATATGAACAAATTTTAATAATTGTTATGTTTTAATGGCTGGCTTCCCAAATTCCTAAAAATTAACAATCAGATCTCATGAGCTGGTTTTGAACTGCTTCAGCACACTGTGCCCATTTCAATATACTCCGAAATATATAAATCATCAAATTTGAAAAGTACATTGAGAAAGACATTAATAATTAAAGTTTAGTATTTTAGTATAGACCACGTGAAAACTGATATGATCATTTGGACCAAAATGTGGGAGGATAGAAAGAGTGAGTACTATGACTAATTTTATTATCAAGTATGTGAATATCACTATGGATTGCTTGTTAAATATAGACAGGTAGATAGATACATTGAGAGATACAAAGATGGACCATTGCCACCTAGAACAGAGAAAAGGTACTTTGTTTTAACATCCACAGTCCATTCACAAAAAGTCAGCCATTACCTAGGCCACAAAGAAAACCCCAGTAAATTTCAACGACTCAAAACAAAACAAAACAAAAGCATCAAGACCCCACTGTGGAATGTGTTTCTTTATTGAATTGCAATAAAATTAGAAACAACAAAAGGATAGCTAAAATAAGATATGAATGTAAGAAAATAATTTAAAAAATAATACTTGGGCTAGCTGATGGTCTAATATTTGAGGCAGCTGGATCCGATGTGGATGACTTCCTGGTTCACCATGACTTGAAAAATACTAAACACATGTGATTACCCAAAATCCTGAAAGAAGGGAGAAATGAAGGAGAAGGGGTTGTGGAATGACTGACCCTCTGGAGGGTGCTTTCTTTCTCTTTCTTTCTCCCCAACAAGTATATGTGTCCTCTAACAATTTTTTTTAAAAATAGGAAAAACAAAAAAGATCTTTGAAGTAAGAGAGAAATTATAATCCTTTTTAAAATTTTTTTGGAGAGGTTTTTGCTACAGGGCACATGCGCTCGCCAGAAACACGGAGAGAAACTGAGAGACAGCGAGAAATCACCACCACCCCCCAACCAGGGGAATGGCCATGCAGCCACAATCCCTTCTCCTCCATTCTCCTCTTGGGAACTTGCGCCCAGCGTGAGTTTAAGCTGCAGGGTCCAGGACTCAAACCTGCAGTCGACTACGTGGGAGTCCAGTGACATAGTCATTATGCTAACTACTGGTCCCCTGTAATCCATTTTTAAGGCTGGATAAAGATGCAGGGAAGACACAGACTAGAGGAATGACTGATGTGGTTAAATTAATAATTGTGAGTGACAATAATAGTTTGAATGTATTTTACAGAAAAAAGTTTGAAGCTTTAATTTTCAGTTATGAAGTATGTTGAACTTTAAATTTAAAAGGAAAACAAAAATGAAACAAAAGCAAAAATTAAGATTATATAAAATATTTAAAAATGTAAAAATGTAGCTTTAGTTTTACAAAATGATTATGAATAAATAATTATGTTATATGACAGACAAATCTCTGATATGAGTAGGCAAGAAAAAGCATATACTGTACATAACAAAAAGAGATGAAAACAATCTATCTATTTAAAAATTTAAATATTGTGAATAATTATACACTAGTGAATATTAATACCTAGGGTAAGCATGTAACTTTCCAGAGAAAGTATAAAGTTATACTTTAACCCCAAAATAATAAAATCTTGAACAGATACAAAACTATTAAAGTTGGGGCCAGCAGGTTGCATGGTGTTTAAGGCCCTGGACTCCAACATGGCTGGCTGTGGTTCAAATCTCAAGCCTGGCAGCTTGCTTTCTTACTTTCTCTCTCTCTCGCCCTCTCTCTCTGATGAGTGCACATGCCCTATAGCAAATTAAATAATAATAATAATACATTAAATACATAATTCTTAAAAAAAAACTATTAAATTCACTGAATTTGTGGTCTAAATTTCCTTTCTGGAAAAAATCATCAAGCTCAGATGGCTTCACAAATGAATGATCACTATTAAAGTTTCAAGGAACCTATTTTGCTGAGTTGTTTCTGAATATAGAAGATGATGTTTATCAAATCATTTGAGAAGTTCATTAAAAGTTCTAATATCAGGACCCAGTAGACAGCTTAGTGGTTACATTACTGGATAGACTTCCACATGGCCAACCTCAGTTCAAGTCCTGAACCCAGTGGCTTGAAAATCATGCCAGGCACGTCTACATCCAAGCTCCCCAGAGGAGAATGGAGGAGAAGGGACTATGGTGTGGTCATCTCTTCTGACGGGGGGGGGGGTTTGATTTCTCACTTTGCTTTTCTCTGTCTCTGTCTCTGTCTCTGTCTCTGTCTCTGTCTCTGTCTCTGTCTCTGTCTCTGTCTCTCTCTTTCTCTGGCAAGTGCACACACCCTATGGCAAAACATCTTAACTAAACAGTACTAATATCAGAGTGAAATAAAAAATGGTCTAAAATAAAAAGTCAATTTGATTATAAACACAGAGTTTTAAAAAATTTAAATGCAATATTAGCCAAAATGTGTCTCTACATCATTGCTTTAGGCTGTGGCATAGGCAATTCTGTTCAGTCCTTCCTATGGTGATTTAAGTTAGCTAGTATGTTTTTGGTTTCCTTGCAATTATTTTTTCTTGTTACTCTGATCTTTCTTTTAATCTCAGGCAGATGTGATTTATATCACTTATTCCCTTTCAGTTTTCAATTTTAGAAATCATGTCTTTTGAATCATATTAATTACATCAAGCCATATTTAAAATTTTTCTTTAATTTTCTAATGATAACATGTAATAGTTCACTAAAATGTTATATTCATCACTTGAAGAATATATTAAAAAAAGAGGTTGAATTGGGTCTAGGAAATCTTTTTTTTCCTTTTTTCAGAGAAGTTTATGCTATAGGGTGTGTGCACTCACCAGAAAGACAGAGAGAGACAGAGAGACAGAAAGCAAGAAATCACCTCCCGGGGGGATGGCCATGCCGCAATCCCTTCTCCTCCATTCTCCTCTCAGGATCTTGGGCACACACGCACCTGCGCCCAGTGTGAGTTTAAGCCACTGGGTCTGGGACTTGAGTCACGGTCGACTACATGGGAGTCCGGCAACATAGCCATTACGCTAACTGCTGGTCCCTAAGAAACCTTTATTGAGAGAGATTTTTTGCTCTAGGGTGGGTGCATGCACTCACCAGAGATACACAGAGAGACAGAGAGACAGAAAGTGAGAAATCATCCCCCAAGGGGGATGGTCACATGACAATCACTTCTGCTTCATTTTCCTCTCAGGTTCTTGGGCACGCATGCACACACACCTGGACTATTTTTAGTCACTGGTAAAGGACTTGAATCATAGTCACCGATGTGCGAGTCCAGCAATGTAACCATAGTACTATCTGCTGGTCCCCTAAGAAACTCTTAATGGTAAACATAATAATATCCTTTACAGGCAAGCTGTGGTACTACAGTGGAAATATAATACCTTGTGATACTGATGCCACTGGGGAAGGTCCCAGGATCATGGCACCAGGTGTCTCTGTATATGCTGGGTGCATGTATGCCATAATCTTGGCCGACTAAGGCTAGGGATAGATTGGGGTATGAAGAGCCTGCTAAGGGTACCTGCCTTTCTCTGTCACAGGAGAACTAAATATTTTAAAAAAAAGGATAATTCCTTACAGAATATAGCTTTGCATTGAGAAAGCATGTATTTAAATAATATTAATAATAATGATTATTATTACTAAAAGGTAACAAGTACCACTTCTAGAGTGCTTATTATGTTTCAGAAATGGCTTTGTTTGTTTTTCATATTTGTTTCTCATATATGAGAAAATGGGAACTTAGTCAAGTAAATAATTAGCTCAAGATAAGCCAACTAGCTAGTGGTCTTGCCAAAAATCAGATTCATCCAGATCTTCCTGAATCCATTGCCTGTCCTACTGAACGCTGGGCTGTAAAGTAAAATTGCATACTAAAAGTTACCTACTGTCTACATATTATGAAATAATCTATTTATTCATACATTTAACATCTGTTCAGTTTAAATTATTTTATATATAAGATGAAAACTCAACTGAAGCAAGATGACCGTGTAACTGTGAGGATGAAATCGCTCTACATAAAGCACTTAGGATAGTACCTGGCACAAACTGTTTTCAATCAGTCTTTGCTACTTATTTTTTCAGTGGTTAAAGGGAGATTATCGGCACCTTCTTTCTCTCAGTAGGTGTTCAATATGAAATGAGCCGTAGTAATGATGGCAATTAAAGTTACTTCATCTGCAGAAGGTCTTTCATTTAAGACACCCCATGAAATATGTCCAAATGTTTGACTCTTT